ACTTACTTACTTACTTACTTACTATCTACTACTCTTCTCTCTCTCTCTCTCTCTCTCTCTCTCTCTCTCTCTCTCTCTCTCTCTCTCTCTCTCTCTCTCTCTCTCTCTCTTCTTATATATATATATATATACACACACACACACACATATATGTATACACGTGCATTTGTTATATATTTACTATAATATGTATTACTGGCAATCATTGAAACATTCAATTTTCGCGAAATTTCTGGTTTTTCTATGAAATCGTTCGCGGACTAACTTTATGACCTACGAAAATTTTATGACTACATGATATATAAAGCCTGTAGAAAGGAACGTTGAGTAAAGAAATCGATCATTTCCTACGAGAACGATTTCGATCATCGACATGGTCGCGATTGTCTTCGCGAGATTATGATCTTTCATGTCAAAGAATCAATATGGTAAAATCACGTGCGAAATACATTAGGTTCACATCGCGATAATGTGCCGTATAAAATCGGTCTGGCGCCGGGAGACAGGTCATTCACGTTTTTACATGAAACGTCCGTGTCATTCGACAGGTTATTTTTCTTGTGAATAGATCATGTATCAGAATTTGATAACGAAGCGCGGAAAACACTTTTTCTCACCTGCCTTCGTTGAGTCTGTTTTCATAAGTGTTAGATTTATCCATTTTCTGTCGTCTTTTGCCGGCAAAATTTTCACTTGGTAATTTGACTTGGTCTCGAAAACAAAGCGAAATCATCCGCACGAAAACATTTGAAATTTTACAAATTTAATTCTCTCACTTCGCACACCCGAAAATAGTCGATAGTAAGTTCTATCTATCGATTATCGGCGTGTGATAATAATAATTTTGTAATAAGATCAGATATCAATATATGTATGCGCACGTGTATCGCAGCCGAGATAAAGTTAGCCGTATGCAAAGCTAAATTTGTAACTTCGTAATTGCGATCGTTTCAACTTTGTCGCGGAAATTGCGTTTCAACAAAACGGAAACTCGACAAGCATAATCCTCTATTTTAATTTATACTGATGATTTATCGCGATTATTAATTACAATGCGATTTTTAAATTACGAGAGAAATTTGAGAGCTTTTAGCAAGCGTAAAATGAAGTAAGGAATATGCGTAATGAAAGTCTTTCATTAGATTTACGAATAATGTCTTAGATTAATTACATTTCGCGCGCATTCTTACGATGATTCATTGTGCAGTTCGCTGACGGAACTTTGCGACACGTGCTATAACACGTCGCGTGCATAGAAATCTAGCGAAGTCGCAGACACATCGATATGTTATCGGGGCTCTTTTTTAAAGTCGCTTCTTCAAAGCCAGTTGCGTTTAGTTAATTTTAGAATTTAATGCGACGCGCCGTTCTGTATGATCGATACGGCTCGCGTAGCTTTCATTAGTGATGTCGCATCGAAAAGTGATGAATTTATAATTAATATACCACGATGCAGCGTGCGTCGGATGCGCCGAGTATCGAACAACAAACGATATAGTACGTCGCACGTCGTGAACACCTTTCCGAGTTTCTTCCAGTTCAGTGATGCCGTCACGAGGCTCGCTTTTTTCTTGATATGTTTATCAAACACCTCATCACTTTGCATGCTGATATTTCTAATAAATTAAGGAAGCAAAGAATTACCATGAGTACAGCTGAGATGGAAAAAATTAAGTCAAGCTTATTCCAATTTTCAATGTTCAACTGAGATTTTATTTTTGCTAATATCGCTACGATTTAATCGTAAATGTAATAAATTCTGTATAAGTTTTATATCACGCAGATTTTTCTTCCGAATCCAAATAAAAAGTTTTGAGGTGTGCAACATAAATGTGCAAAAGGTAAAGATGATTTATGATCAAATTTGGCAATTTGATAGAATTATAGAAGTGTCTGCTTGTAAAGTGGAAGTTTAACCTTGACCTATACTGCGATATGTTGTAACTTCGATCGTCGCCAGATGCCGGAAGTCAACCGATGCATTCGGTTCATATGGCTATCAATGCACACATCGTGCATCCATCCGTCAAATTGTATCAAGTAATAATTATATTTTAATACTGAGATAAAAATAAAGAGATAAAAATAAATTTAAAAACACATGGTTTATGCATAATAAACTTATTTCCATAATTTTTAACATCCTATTTTACAGTCATAAAATCAATATTTAAATATTGCAGAAAAATTTGAATCACATATATTTGTGATTAGTATAAAAGAAAATTATATTAAAAAAATAGATAAACAATCACAAAAATAAAATATAAAGGAAGATGCCTGTATTTTTGAAATAACTTCTCAATTAAGAATTTTTGTCTCTTTACTTCTTACATCTTATTGAAATCATACAAAAATATAATTGCAAATTAAAAAATTCGGGAAACAAATATTTTCTTTGTATAACAATTAATCAACGTTGCCAAATAATATAGCTTATAAAATCATTTGCGTCAGCAGTAAAAAATTGACCGATTGCTCTTTATTAATATTCTGATAAACAAGATTAAGTTTCTTTGTCAAATTTCCAGCAGAAACTTCAATGCGAAACTTATTTCGCATGTGCCGCGCAAATATATGAGTTCGCGGCACGTATGGCGAATCGCGTGTTATTCCGTTTAATGACAGGAAGTTATGTTAATGTGTCCTTTAAGTTACATTACTTATGCATCTCTCTCTGTTGCATTTTAATTTTTTTAAACTTGAGTTGTTGAGGATGTGCGTGCGCGTTCACAGTTACACATCACATCATCAATTGTATCCGATAACCGAGGATATTCGAGTAATATTTCTACTTGAAGATAGAAAGAGAAAGATCGGGTGTGGTTGTAGTGTAAATTAATATGGTCATGTCAAGCAATTTCATTTGCACGGATGGTTTTGCGACACGAGCTCTGCCATCGATTTCAATATAACTTTATAATCGGTTGATTGCCTTAGTCTACGTGTTGTCACATTCCTGATTGCCAATAAATCACGTTGATTAATCTCGAATTAGAGAATATTTCGAATTTTCGAATCGCAGGTGTTATTTTGTAATTAAAGATTGACAAACGCGTGCATGTTCGATCTACTTTGATTTTGTATAATATATTGCAATTTCGTACAATAAAATATAAATTTAAAATTTTCTAAAAAATATCTTACGTATTTGCCAGCAACAATTACGTACTTTTATATAAGGATTTTAATTGGATCATTATTTTGTAAAGAATATATGATGCTAAAAAAAACACTTAGATAATTGTTGCGGCTACCGTATTAATTTTTTTCGCTTATCATTAAATGGGCTTGGAAATTGTCAACCACGGTATGATCTAATCAAGCAACGTCACACGTAATTTATATATAGGTGTGTGTCGATTGAATGATATGGAGTCATTTGGTCTGGACATTACAAAAATAACGAGATAAAAATTTTTCCCGTGTGACTTTTGACCCAGTTTCTATAGTCGCTCATGAAATTTTCACGGATGCAAACACTTCATTCTCTTTTCTTTCCTTCTCTTTTTCTCTAACATTTCTGTTTAAAGTTGAAGGACATGAATATTCTATATAATTCTTTGCTTATAGTAGCCAAATGCAAGAAAAAATATAAGAAATATGAGATCCCGTCGGAATATGAGAAGTTAAGTTATTGCAATTTCATACTTGAGATTGCAATAAAAAGAAAAAGCGAAGAGTTTAGCTTAGAAAAGTCCAGAATACAAGATAAACTCTAATATAGAAGGACACTGGATAGAGAGTCTACATGTTCAAGGATTAAAATCGAGCAACGCAAATCGAATGATTCATCCAACGAGCTTTCCGAGGGTGCGACGTTATTGCGAGCATTAAATAACGCCATTACCCGTCCCTCGACGCGACGTATCCAAAAATTACGAGATGCATTCGAAGCGGGCATACTTGTGTAAGCAGTCCTCATACATTCTTGAGGTCGTCCAAATTGGTTTTGGCACGATAGTCGTGCGGCCGTTTCGGCCGGCATCATAATTCATGTGATTTCCCAGGAGCTCGTCATTTCTATGACAGTAGAAACGCTTTTCAAAGTGATATTGGTCAGATGAACGATATCGGTCCGTCGGTCGTTAGATGACATCTTCATCGATTCCACAAGATTCGCGTACGAATCATTTATCTGCTACAGAATCGTCTGCTGCGGATTGCAAAATCGTTGGGCGGTATATTGCGCACTATTGCAGCACAGCCAATGTGATGAGATTCGCGTAGAATTTTCTTGTTAATCTACACTGCAATCGATAAATTTCAAAGAGCAATGTAATAATATCCAAATTAAATTTTCAAGAATTTTGTTCACTTTATAATTATTCACTTTTCAAGAATTTTGTTCACTTTACAATTATTTTAAAATTGATGTATTATTAACATAAATTTTAAAATTAAATTTTTCAAAACAATCAATTTGTTTGAAAAATAAAAAAGGTCGAGAGTTATGCAGCAAAGTAATATATCATTTAAAATTTACAGGAGGATATGGTATGTCTGTCCTGTACCGCAACAGGAGAAAGGGTTTGCCTGGCAGCCGAGGGTTTCGGTAATCGACATTGTTTCCTCGAGAATATTGCGGACAAGGTAAAAGCGGCCACGAATTCGTAGAGTTTCTCGCGTCTTGGTTTCGTGTGTATACAGTTATCCATTTTTTTTAGAACATACCGCCAGATCTGTCGCAATGCGTGTTCGTAATAGAACAAGCCCTCTCGGTGAGAGCCTTACAAGAACTGGTCACTGCTGCCGGCTCCGAGACGGTAACGTATATGTTATCTGCTTTATCGTACACTCGTATGACTTCAATTTTGCCAACGAAATTTAGTAGCTTCAGGAAATACTTGTAGCTTCTATTCAACATTCACCGCGAAAGAAATAGTGATTTCCTCATTTCGAAGGAGGTGAACAAACGAGACTTGCATAGTCGAGCTCGATTCATACGATCCATTAATTGTAATCCGCGCAAATACTATAATTATCTACATCATTAAAAGCTCATTAGTTATAATTGATCGTCAAATATTAGATTAGTATACACGCTTGATTTGCATAGGAGTGGGCCACGATTAGTATATACGCTTGATTTGCATAGGAGTGGGCCATAAAATGCGCCCCCTTGCCAATTTCTGTTTAAAACATGAAAAACGCAATCCTCGAATAATACGGAGGTCTAAGAGATTTACAAAGGGAAGCATACCTGAATAATGTCTGGAAAGATTAGGATAGAGATAAAGATTTCTAGAAATCTTTATAGCGTCTATTAGACCTTTAGACCTGCTCAATTTTTTTTCACCGAATAATTTTCGAAGAGTTCCTGATACGTCGGAATAGCTTCCTCTTGAACGCATTCGCACGCAATCCCCCGCCGTCACCGCACCCCTTATCCGTATGATTGTGGCATGTGTCCGTGTAAAATGATTTCAATTTCATGATTTTTCATTCTTTTGATCATGCCCATCTTCACCTGTAATTCTATCATTCAAAACATATTAGCACTGTAAAAAAATAGAACATCTTTAAAAATTTAACCGATACCCATTGTATTATCAACGCGAATTATTTCTCTATTCTTCTCTCTCTCCTCTCTCTCTCTCTCTCTCTCTCTCTCTCTCTCTCTCTCTCTATCAAATCCAAATTCAACATCTGATGAACAAGATTCATTGCCTCTTATGTTTCTCTTTGCAGCAACAAGACAGTTTAGTAAGTATATTTTACGTACCATCTACGGGACGCCATAACGTGTCCGCTCTTGGGTAAAATGATCATTTATTTGTGTGTTGGAACGTTATAATGCCCAATCGAGCTTGGGTGAAGATATAAGTCGTTCACTTTGTGAGCTCAGCCAAATTTCGAAACAATAGAGACTTACATCTCTGTTCAGCGCCATAATCAGCGCTAGTCAGATGTGATTCAGAGCTACCTAAAATATAGATTTAAAACTGAATTAGTCATATTTTTCAAATCTGATTTATGCAACTTTTGAGATAAATAACTTGTGTGTATCGTTTTTTATTTAAATAACAACAAAAACTTGTTTAATAGAATTTAAAAACTTTCTTTTTTGTAAAAATGTCCAATAGTGTTTAATCTCCTGTAATTTTTTTTATATTTCAAGATGTTAGTTCACCCATCGATCGATTAAGCGATCACGTCTGAAAACATTACACTGAAAATTACAGTTAACATTAATAAACTAATAAACATATTGAGACTTACAACAACTTTTGTTTGGCCGCCTAACATATTAATCGTCTATATTAAACGTGCATTTACCTGTATTTTCGATTCACGCCTCGTAAGCTTCGCATCGTAGCTTGATATAATATCAGCATTTATGGCCTCCTCTTATCTTATTCTACGCTTGTAGAAGTTGTCTAAGAAATTATGTTATTTTGCGAACTATTAAAAAATCTCGTATGATGTATACGTAGAAAGGAATACCATCGAGCACGAGGGGTTGCAAGGGCTTTGACCAATCCTTTGATGCTTCCAGGGAAAGGGCACCGGGTCAGGGCACAGGACCTTGTTATATGGTAACGCCATATTATTGCGACATCTAAATAGCGACATGGTAAATTACTCTTTATAATAACGCCGTTATGCCACATTAATTTTTTATGGTTACGTAAATCTGTGATCTTGTGCCACAGTACCTGGCATGTCTGTCCACAAGTTCGTCGAACGATAAGCTAGCCTTCGATGTCGGTCTACAGCAGCACTCTCATGGTTGGTGCAACTACGCCATTACGCTTCAATTCTCGGCAAATTCTTTTACCGCGAAGTTACTTCTCTTTATATTCCGATACTAATGTACTGCTTTATTAAAAACGTCTATAACCATTTCTTGAGATTATAACTTTCATGGGATTATAATTTTCACTAGAAATTGAAATAAAATTGGTGTCTAAAGTTGCTGAGCTGGTAAACTTTTCATAGGTCAACCATGAACGAAACTTCGTAATTCTCTCGGAATTTCTAAAAGAATTTTATTCTCGTAGGTGAGGCGTGCTGGTGGACCGTGCACCCCGCCTCCAAACAGAGATCCGAAGGTGAGAAAGTACGCGTGGGTGACGATCTTATTTTGGTGTCTGTCGCCACCGAACGATATCTAGTAAGTGAGACGTGTTGCTGAAAATAATAATATTTTAAATTAAATTAAATAATTCATACGAAGTGAAAAAATTTCATTTCTCCTGTTCTAGCACACGACGAAAGAAAATGACCTATCAGTGGTGAACGCATCTTTCCACGTGACGCATTGGTCGGTGCAACCGTATGGTACCGGTATCAGTAGAATGAAATACGTCGGCTACGTCTTCGGCGGCGACGTGTTGAGGTTCTTCCACGGCGGTGACGAGTGCTTGACGATACCGTCGACATGGAGTCCAACACCCAGTCAAAAGTGAGCTTTTTTGCATGTATCGCGTATACACACAATCCTTTTACAATTATAAGAGCGGCGTAAAATTAAAAAAAAAAAAATTATCTTGAAAATAAGAGAGAGGTTAGAAATAATCGTTTTACAGATATTTTGTTCATCGTTTTACAGCCTAGTAATCTACGAGGGCGGAAGTGTAATGAGCCAAGCGAGATCATTATGGAGATTAGAGCTCGCCAGGACGAAATGGGCGGGCGGCTTCATCAACTGGTTGCATCCAATGAGGATCAGACACTTGACCACCGGACGTTATCTCGGCGTAAAGGAGAACAACGAGCTCTATCTGGTCGATAGGTTAATATTTATTTTTAGAAAAGTTCAAGGGTCACGGCGATTCTTAGAGACTCATGATAATGTTTCGTAAATCCGGAATTATCTTTTTTTTTTTTTTCTTCGAAGAAATGAGGCGACGATCGAAACCTCGACGTTCTGGTTACGGCAGGAGAAGGACGATCAGAAGATTATTCTTGAGGATAAGGATCTGGAAGTCATCGGACTACCGATTATCAAATACGGTGATTCTACCGTTATTATGCAACATGCCACCACGTGCCTCTGGGTGTCTTATAAAGTAAATAAACAGATATACTTTTTTCGAAATAATAAAATATAAAATAAAAAACATAATTTTAGTTTACTTTTTCGACTAGAATAAAATATATTTAAATAATTAAGCTAGGTCGGAGTAAAAGTTGCGGGTAAAAATTCTTGATACTGCTATTTTTTTTTAGTCATACGAGACGAAAAAGAAAGGCGTCGGAAAAGTTGAAGAAAAACAAGCGGTACTGCATGAAGAGGGTAAGATGGACGATGGTTTAGATTTCTCCAGATCTCAGGAAGAGGAATCTCGCACTGCCCGAGTCATCAGAAAGTGCAGTAGCTTGTTTACTCAGTTTATCACGTAAGTTTTTGTAATGAAAGATATTTTTAGAATATAAAAAAAGACGAAAAGAAATCATATACTATATATAGAAGTATATGACAGATAAAAAAAGTATGAATAGAGAAAAAACAGGATAGAAGCTTGCTAAAAATATCAAATACGTTTTAGAGGCCTAGAAATGCTGCAGGTGAATAGAAGAGCGTCAATGTTTTTTCAAAATGTGAATCTGAACGAGATGGTAATGTGTCTTGAAGACTTGATCAATTACTTTGCTCAACCTGAGGACGATATGGGTAAGAGCTTTATCTCTTACACACTTCTTCAGACTATGTCAACGATAAATTTTTTCAGAACATGAAGAAAAGCAGAACAAATTCCGAGCTCTCAGGAATCGTCAAGATTTGTTCCAAGAGGAGGGCATATTGAATCTCATTCTTGAAGCTATCGACAAAATTAATGTAATTACTTCGCAAGGATTTCTCGTTGCTCTTTCTGGCGACGAGAGTGGCCAGGCCTGGGATCAGATATCTGGATATCTCTATCAATTGCTGGCAGCTATTATCAAAGGAAATCACACCAACTGTGCACAGTTTGCCAACAGTAATCGTCTCAATTGGTTATTCAGCCGATTGGGTTCACAAGCTTCCAGCGAGGGAACTGGAATGTTGGATGTACTTCACTGCGTTCTGATTGATTCGCCAGAAGCTTTGAATATGATGAGGGTATCTCCATTTTTTGCAATATTTTCTTGGCGAATAATAATAATATTTCTATAAAACTATTATAGAAGAAGTTAAATTCATAATAAAGGTTCATATAGAATAAATTGATTTTTTAGGATGAGCATATAAAAGTAATTATCTCTCTGCTAGAGAAACATGGCAGGGATCCGAAAGTTCTAGACGTTTTATGTTCACTGTGTGTTGGTAACGGCGTCGCAGTGCGATCTTCGCAAAATAACATTTGCGACTTTCTGTTGCCTGGAAAAAATTTGCTCCTTCAAACACAGTTAGTGGATCATGTAGCGAGTGTCAGGCCAAATATATTTGTTGGGAGAGTAGAAGGATCGGCTCTTTATCAGAAATGGTACTTCGAAGTGACAGTAGATCATATTGAACAAACAACTCACATGATGCCGCATTTGAGAATCGGATGGGCAAACACCGCTGGGTAAATTATTAAGATTACATTTTCTAAATCTGCATTTATATTTAGAGTGTTAAAATCATAAAAAAAAATGTTTAAATTGTAATTTCTTGAAATATTAATTACATTCATTTAATTAAATTTTAAGATTTTATATAATGGAAAGATAACGTGAATACAAAAAAACTTATATTTTTTTCATAAATAGCTATATGCCGTATCCTGGTGGTGGAGAGAAATGGGGTGGAAACGGCGTCGGTGATGACTTGTATTCATTCGGATTCGATGGCGCTTATCTATGGACCGGTGGCAGGAAGACACAAGTTGTTCAAAACGTCACTGAGCCTTACATACGAAAAAGCGAGGTGATCGGTTGCGCTTTGGACCTGACAGTGCCGGTGATAACGTTCACTTTTAATGGGACTCGCATCATGGGTTCTTTTCGAAACTTCAATCTGGACGGCATGTTTTTCCCTGTTATCAGCTGCTCATCCAAACTCTCCTGCAGATTTCTATTGGGCGGTGATCATGGCCGATTGAAATTCCAACCACCGGAAGAGTTTTCGCCGCTAGTGGAAAGTCTGCTGCCACAACAGATTCTATCACTGGATCCGTGTTTTTATTTTGGCAACATGAATAAAGTCGTCTTGGCAGGTCCATGGCTAGTCGAGGACGATACCGCCTTCGTTCCGGCTCCGGTCGATACTTCCATGGTCAACTTGCCCGCCTACGTCGAACAGATCAGAGATAAACTAGCAGAAAACATCCATGAGATGTGGGCAATGAACAAGATCGAAGCAGGTTGGATCTATGGCGAGGTCAGAGATGATCTCAGGAAGATTCATCCCTGCATAGTTCAATTCGAACGATTGCCAGCCGCAGAAAAGCGTTACGATACTCAGTTGGCCGTACAGACTTTGAAGACTATCCTGGCTCTAGGCTACTACATCACCATGGACAAACCACCGTCCAGAATAAAAACTTTGAGACTACCGAATGAACCGTTTCTACAAAGCAGTGGATATAAACCGGCGCCGCTTGATCTGTCTGCAATTACATTAACCCCCAAGATGGAGGAGCTCGTTGATCAACTTGCGGAAAATACGCACAATCTCTGGGCAAAAGAAAGAATCAGCCAAGGATGGACATATGGATTAAACGAAGATTCGGAGATGAGAAGAAGTCCTCACTTGGTACCGTATCCGAAGGTTGACGAAGCTATCAAAAAAGCAAATCGAGATACGGCCAGCGAAACTGTCAGGACCCTGTTGGTTTACGGATACATGCTTGATCCACCCACTGGAGAACAGCACGAAGGTGAAATTACTTTTAATTTTGATTAATTCTTATACTCATTCGTTTTTAAAAATGTCGTTTCTTTAACATAATATTGCTTTATTTCTAAGTGTATAATATTAATTACTATTTCTAGAATAAACAGTAACACAATTGACAATTTCTATTCTCATAAATTTTAATTTGTATTTGTCAATAAAGTAGAGTTAAATTAAAATATTATAATTTTTTTATTCTTTTTTTACATTTTTTTTTGAGCTATCGATCATATTAATAATGTATCCATGTTTCCATGTTTGTAGCATTACTTTTGGAGGCCAGTAGGTTACGACAATTATCCTTCAGGACTTACAGGGTGGAGAAACATTATGCAGTCAACAGCGGAAAATGGTATTTCGAATTCGAAGTTCTCACAGCCGGACCTATGCGAGTCGGTTGGGCAAAAGCTGATTGCATGCCAGGAAGTATGCTGGGCAGTGATGAAAATACTTGGGCATTTGATGGTTACAACGTAAGTATCGATATCGATTCTCTTTTCGTAATTTAACGATTAAGTCGAAGACAGAACGAAATTTGTTGAAACGGTTTTCTCAATCGTTAAAACGATAATTTAATCATTTTTCAAATAAAACATATCATTTTAAATTTTAAATTGAATAAATGTAATAAATAGATAAAAGACAGAAATTAGTTATTTTTGTTGTGTAGATTAAATTTAAAGATAATGCTGTGCCTTTTGTCAAAAGAGTTATTTATTATCGTATCGATTATTTCGCAATTTGAATTATTGTAGCTACAAAGGATAAGAACTTCTACTACTAGTCTTTAGAGTATACTTCATGTATATTTGATTTGCAAAATATCAATAAGAAGTATGTAATCTATACACGATAGCCTTTGTGTGAGACGAGACGAATGCGATATTAATATAAACGGTTCTCGTACGTAATCTGTAAAATATGAATAATCCATAAAAACATGAACATGTCAGGTGACTAAAGTGCACGCTGGCACTCACGAGTCATTTGGTCACAAATATCAAGTGGGCGACATAGTTGGATGTTTCATTGACGTGGCAGACCGAACGATCAGTAAGAGTCCCATTTCCCAAATTAGCCAATCTTAGAGGCCCCATTATACGTCTACACATTATTTCTTTTCCTGAGTTTTCTCTCTTCCTGAGTTTCGTCACTACTATTGTCTTTGTCTCGCTCTATATGTTTCTTTTCATGTTGACTTTGGTTTTATATCTTTGCATCCTTGTCCCAAGACAAATGAAATCGCTGGTGAAATTTCAATTCGGCGATCGGTGTGGCTTAATTTCTTTATATGATATCGGGGGAGAGGGAAAAACCGCGTAATTTCCTCGCGATATCTTAACTGTGCACTATGCCGAAACTTTAATCTCGTACGAACTTACACGGTATCAAGACGTGTATCAATAGCGACAAAAATATATAAAGCATCCCAGACTCACCGCGAGCAAATATAGAGGATTTCGATTTGCCGGTCTGTCCCGGTCTCCATGATCGAAAGTAAGCTTGAACTGGTGAACATTTTATTTTAAAGGAGGAAAAAGTATACTCGGGCACGGCCGAAACGTTCGGCAAACAATGGCAGGTCGGAGACGTTGTCGGTGTTTTCCTGGATCTAATTGACCGAACGATTAGTAAGACGGAATTTTTAAGCGAACGCTTCAGCTGCCATTTTTCAAGCTATACACATATAATTTCTGTGGTGATAGATTACTGGATACAGACATTGCAATTTTTAACACGATCTCATCGCTCTCCACAGTTATTCGCGTTAGATAGTTTAATATTAACCAATAGGCAAACAAATATTATATAAAAAGATATCATAAAAGATATAAAGATGAAAAAATTAACTAAATGATTGTTCGTACAAAATTAAAATATTTTAATCGCGTTTACACGACTATGAAATAATTTGTTACCTAAATGGATGTCGAGCAAAATTTTCGCGTTGCACACAGGAAAGAGTTGTTCCGCTTAAACTTTCATGATGAAAAAAACTTTGCAGCAATGCAAAGTTGCTTGGATAAAAAGAGTGATCATGCATTTCTTGCGCAAAAAATATTTCATTTCGACATGCCGTCATCTTAACATTTCTTTCTTGATGTTAACTACAAAACCAGAAGCAATCCTGGTTTCTATCATCATTAATAATATCATACTCTCAAGTGACAAAAATCATATGTTTGCCCAATGTCTTCTCCGGTATCCAGTACTCTATTCAGTGTCTATACTGTCAGCGACAACAGTGCTTCCATAATTCATATTTACTAATCACTAACACTAGGATGACCCCAGATATATTGATCATATCACGTGCATTGTGAAACAGCAACCCTGGAACAATACAATCGTTGTACGAACACAAAACGTGTGAAATCTTTTGAGAAACATCGCGGCGCGTATTCATCTTTCTAAACTGTCAAAGTAATATAAATAAAATATTATGACTCTCTCAAATAAATTGATATATATTTATCGTTCAACAATTATTATTTATTTTTTTACTTCGATTATTTATCTATATTTTACTTTTTTTTAATCGTGAAATTTACTATCTTAGTGCATCGTCCGTGTGTAATAATATTACACGTATTTGATTTTCATTACACCGCCTTCAAATAACGCTGCTTGCATGTATATTCTGTTTAAATTTGTGTTAATGTGGGTTGTATAAATAAAAATAAAGCAAATGCTTTACTCTTAAACTTAAAGTAAATATTTTAAAATGTTTTTATCCATATTTTTTTCTTAAAGCAATAAACGGAAGCAAAAGATTTTGTTTATACAGCCTATTTTAGCACCTGCTTTGCTGTAATTATATTTGCAATGTATTTTGAATTAGTCATTAAAAAAATCTTATTAAAGTTTCTAATACAATTATTTCTTTATGCGGAGAAATTGTAAGCTTGTGTTTTATGTATATGTTACGTAACATTCAATAATTTTATTTACGAATAATTTTAATGATTACTTAAAATTTAGTTAGATTTTTTATTTCTCTCATTTCTTTCTTTTTTGATAAGGCAAGATGAATGTTTCTGGTAGTTAAAATTTTAGAATAAAAGATGTTATTTGTTACTCATTATAATCTTCTATTCAATTACATTTTCTTGTTCACTGTTCGTTTTAACTTTTTACAAAGAACAATCCAAGCACATCGCAATATAAATTTGCGAATTATATAGGTTTCTCCTTGAATGGAGAACTACTGATGGATGCTCTCGGCGGAGAAACTTCTTTCGCTGATGTGCAAGGTGATTCTTTTGTGCCTGCCTTCACTCTCGGTGTTGGTCAAAAGGCAAGATTAACATTTGGCCAAGATGTAAACACCCTGAAATTTTTCACCACTTGCGGTCTGCAAGAGGGCTACGAGCCATTTTGTGTGTAAGTAATTTCAATTTCTTTATTAAAGAAATGATAAGCGAGTAATCAATATTGTTAATCCTCGTATCGCAGGAACATGAACCGTCTAGTTACATATTGGTACACGAAAGATCAACCCATTTTCGAGAACACCGACGACATGGCTGACACGCGAATCGATGTGGTCAGGATACCAGCTGGTTCCGACACACCGCCCTGCTTGAAAATCTCCCATAACACGTTCGAAACTATGGAGAAAGCTAATTGGGAATTTCTAAGATTATCATTACCGGTGATTTGCCAATCCAGCTTCATCACGGAAGGCGAGAAATTGCGGAGATGGCAAGAAATTAAAATGCGACAGAACAGACTTCTAGCCGAGCAAGTTGAACAAGGACAACAGGCTGCACCGTCGGCGCATCTGGAACAGATTATGAAATCTGGCTTCAGTATGAGTGATATCAAAGGTAACAATATAAAAGATATTTTTTAAAATTTATATTCAAGATATAAATTATGACAAAATATTTAATTGTTTATGAATTGTAATTTTAAAAATATTTTATAATGGCATTCAATTTGTTAATAATATCTAATAATGTTATAATAATTCAAATAGGCTTGCAACGAAATTATTCGGAAGATGCGGCCGAGGCGGACGAGATGATGAAAGAATCACCGCTTCCTATGCAAAGAGGTAAACCTGCCAGACCGCCCAGAAAAGGTTCACTTTACGGATCACGTTTGGACAACGCGATTAGTGAAGCCGAGATGAATGGATATGTCGAGATGAATGGTGATATAAAGGATGACAAGAAAAAACGCGGTCGCTCGCCTTTCCGGTAAATATTAATCACCTCTAATGAATGTTGCAAAAGACAAGTTGACTTTAGTCCTTTGACTTTGTTAGCAAGCTTAGCAAAGAGATGGAGGATGTTCCGTAAGTTTCTAAAGCTTCTTTTCCGTAAAGTATAACTGAAATTCAATGTTTGATTTAATAGTTTAAGTAATTATATAGATGATTGTAGATTTTATTCTATTTTTTATTATATATAAGATATTTTTGATATATTACTTCATAGATTTATTGCATGTGCAGGTTCTTTTCGCGCAAAGCGAAATCACCGGACGCAAAGTCGAAAACGCCTGAACCACAAGTTCGTTCGGATATTTCGGATAAGAGTATGAGCAAAAGTATCAAAGTTCCTCAAGTTCGTGTTTCTACTGTGAGTATATATTGCAATATTAATAAACAATGTATCCGTTTAAAAATAATTAAAAATGTTTTCTATAAAAACGAATTCCATGAAAATTTAAGAATTTCATATATTCGACAGACATTTTATGACTTTTGAGAACTTTATATGATGATGTAAAAAATTTTTATTTTCAGACGGACTTGAAAGTCGTGCCACCGCAAATTCCAGAACGTAACGTTCCTAAAGCGATGTCCGTTTTAACCGGAAGTGGCGTCGAAGCGATCGGGAACGAAATCTTTGATGCAGAATGCATGAAATTAATGAACGAGTATTTCTACGGCGTTAGAATATTTCCAGGTCAAGATCCAACTCATGTTTATGTGGGTTGGGTTACTTCGCAGTATCATTTGCACACAAAGGATTTCAATTTATCCCGCGTGAGAAAAGCCTCTGTTGCCATCGTAGATGATTACGAACGTCTCGTGGAACAGTACGTTTCGATACTTATTCATCACAGAAAATTTTTAAAGAGATTCTCAATTAAAAACGATATTATAACATTGCAGAGTCGATAGACAAAGTTGCTATATGGTTCGAGCGGACGAACTGTACAATGAAGTCACTCAGGATGCATCGGGCAAGGGTGCATCCCAAGGTATGTTCGTCGGATGCTTTGTCGACACCGCCACAGGCTGGGTGTCCTTCACCTGCGAAGGGAAAGAGACGAGCCACAAATTCAAAATGGAACCGGATACGAAGCTGTTTCCAGCGATCTTTGTCGAGGCCACCAGTAAAGAGATCTTGCAGATCGAACTCGGCAGAACCTCGACGACACTTCCGCTCTCAGCAGCCGTGCTGCAGAATTCCGAACGACACGTGATACCGCAATTTCCGCCCAGATTAAAGGTGCAATGCCTAAAGCCGCATCAATGGGCCAGAGTGCCGAATCAATCTCTTCAGGTACATGCCTTGAAGCTATCCGACATCAGAGGCTGGTCGATGCTATGCGAGGATGCTATATCGATGCTGGCTCTTCATATACCCGAGGAAGACAGGTGCATCGACATTCTGGAACTCATCGAAATGGACAAGCTGCTCAGGTAAGACGCTGACGAGAAATCTGCAATAAAAAAAAAAAACTTTTTCTTTTGTATTCAAACTTTTCTCATTTATATTGAAAATTAAAATAAATAATTAAAATAATTTACTTCTTCTATGTAGTTTCCACGCGCATACGTTGACCCTGTACGCAGCTCTGTGCTACCAATCGAATTATCGTGCGGCACACGCTCTGTGCCAACATGTTGACCAGAAGCAATTGTTATACGCGATACGAGCCGAGTACATGTCCGGGCCCCTGCGACAAGGATTTTACGACTTACTTATCGCCCTACATCTCGAGTCACACGCGACGACGATGGAAGTATGCAAGAACGAATACATAATACCGCTCGGTAAGAACTTGATTTTTAAAAATCACGCGAAAATATGTCAATTGTTAAGATTATAAATTAAAATTGTTCAATATAGTGTTTAATTGTCTTGTATGTAATTTTTATCATATTTCTAAAAATATATATTATATCTTTCTTGATCTTCTTAATTAAAAACATTTAATTAAGAAATTTTTATTTTTACCTGTCGATCACGTAGGTCAAGAGCTGAAGGACCTGTACGAGGACACCGAGATGAGACATAGTCTTAGATATTTGGAGACCGAGTCCATTCGGCCGTATATGAAAATGACAGATATCAGGTAAGTGAAACTTTTCCTCAAGTAGATGTGAGATCCCTTACTAATCAGTTGCCATCAAGGAATATTCCTTCTAGTGACCAAGCGATTGAGAACATTAAGAACCTATACAGCCCGCATTTTCTCCTCGACGTCGTGCGCGATTATGTGATGATGGCACTCAACGAGGCCGTCGAAGTGAATCAGGTGCACAACCGAGATCCGATCGGAGGCAGCAACGAGAATCTATTCCTGTATGTAAGATAATAAGTCTGGCCGCTGCTGCTGCTGCTGCAACTAATGTTCGTCAATGCTACCGGAGCAACGATAATCATCATATTTATCTAATTGAAAAATGAAACAGTTTTATTATCTCTTTTTTAAGCAGCATCTTTCACTTTCTCGCTTCTCGCTTACGTTTTATCTATTAATCGAATATGCGCTGATGCGATTTTGGAAATTACAGACCTCTCTTGAAGCTGGTAGATAGATTGCTACTAGTCGGCATGTTGAGAAACGAGGATGTATTTAAATTGCTCATCATGATAAATCCTGAAACTTGGGATCCGACCTTCGATAAAGGCAAGTCAATTAGAAAAGTGATTTATTAAGTATATTGATAAATAAGAAACATAATTTAATGAAATATTATTGTAGAAGGAAAAGACGAGCACAAAAAGGGCTTATTGCACATGAAAATGGCCGAAGGAGCAAAATTACAAATGTGCTATTTACTTCATCATTTAAATGACATCCAGTTACGCCATCGTGTCGAGTCCATCATCGCCTTCGCTTCCGACTTTGTTGGAGAATTGCAGGCGGATCAATTGCGACGTTACATCGAAATTAAACAGTCGGATTTGCCGTCGGCTGTAGCTGCCAAAAAGACCAGAGAATTTAGATGTCCTCCGCGCGAGCAGATGAATGCTATTTTAAGCTTCAAAAATTTGGATTCCGAGGAAGATCCAGAGAATTGTCCCTGTGGCGAGGATCTCATTGTCAAAATGAACGAATTTCATAACGATTTGATGTCTTACGTATCCCTAACTGCTCTTCAGGAAGCTGCTAATGCCGCAAATGAACCGGCCGAGGAAATTCAAAAACCTGGTGCTATGAAACGCCTTTTCAATTTTATTAATGCTGTCAAGGAACTCGAAGAGGAAGCTAAACCTGAAGCCGAGCCTGAGAAAAAGACTCCGGAAGGTAAACTTTTTATCTATCTTATATCCACAATTGTAATAAATAGATATTAATATGTAAAATAATTATAATAAAATTTGATTTTGTCCACAGAGGTATTTCGCAAAGTGCTAATATCAACTATCGTAAGTTGGGCCGAGGAATCGCAAATCGAGACCCCGAAACTCGTGCGAGAGATGTTTAGCTTATTAGTCAGGCAATACGACACTGTCGGAGAGTTGATTAGAGCTTTGGAGAAAACTTACGTCGTCAACAACAAGACGAAGGATGATGTCGCATTGATGTGGGTCGGTTTGAGCCAAATTCGTGCCTTGTTGCCAGTACAGATGTCTCAGGAGGAGGAGGCACTGGTTCGAGAGCGACTATGGAAGCTGGTGAACAATCACACTTTCTTCCAGCATCCTGATCTCATCAGAGTGCTGAGAATTCACGAGAATGTGATGGCTATCATGATGAATACGCTGGGAAGACGCGCTCAGGCACAGTCTGACGCTCAAACTCAGGCCCAAGCGGCCGAGGGTGAGCCAGCATCGAAGGAGAAGGATACCTCTCATGAGATGGTCGTGGCTTGCTGCAGATTTCTGTGTTACTTTTGTCGTACATCTAGACAGAATCAAAAGGCTATGTTCGATCATTTCGACTTTTTGTTGGAGAACAGTAATATCTTATTGGCAAGACCGTCGCTGCGAGGATCGACGCCTTTGGACGTGGCATATTCGTCACTGATGGAGAACACCGAGTTAGCTTTGGCCTTGAGAGAACATTATTTAGAGAAAATCGCTATCTATCTATCACGATGCGGCTTACAGTCCAACTCAGAATTAGTGGAGAAGGGTTATCCAGATTTAGGCTGGGATCCTGTTGAGGGTGAACGCTATCTCGATTTCTTGAGATTTTGCGTGTGGGTGAATGGTAAATTTTACCTCTTTCAATCTGATTAATTTAACTTTCTTTTGTGCGTGAAAGAATAATGTTAAACATTGTGATTTTAATTATAGGTGAAAGCGTAGAGGAAAATGCCAACTTGGTAATCCGTCTACTAATCAGAAGACCAGAATGTTTAGGCCCGGCTCTTCGAGGCGAGGGAGAAGGTTTATTGCAAGCTATTATAGAAGCTAACAAGATGTCTGAACGCATTGCCGATAGACGAAAAGTAAGTTAATCTTTCATTTAATTAAGAAAATATAAGCGAAATATTTCGTAAGTACATTATTTTTGTTTTAGTTTGTTGTTTAAAAAAGCCCACATATTATTAATCTTATGATAGTTGAAAATAGTAGCGAACATAGATTCCCATTCTTTATATATTCTTGATAATTAATTCCCCTGATTTTCTTATTTCAAAAGTTTACTTGGCCCCTTTTTTATTTTTAATTCTTGGAATTCATACAATTTGAACGCGGTTTGATATGCTTTAGCATCACCAAAATCTCCTTAAAATTGATATAAACTTAACTCTTCGTAATCCTCGTGCGATAAAAGTTTCGAGGACAAATCAAAAGTTCGCTAAATGTGGCATAAAATATGACTATGCAACAATATTAAAATCCATAAGCAGAACTCTCTCATAAGCATGTATCCGACCTTCCATTAATGCGATATCAACTTAGTACTTCGCACAGGTGCACGATGAGGCCGAGGGCACGGCTATGGTGATGCAATTTGAGCATCCACTTCCAGAATCAGATGACGACGAAGACTACATTGACACGGGCGCGGCGATATTAAATTTCTATTGTACTCTCGTGGATTTATTAGGTCGCTGTGCTCCGGATTCTTCCGTCATAGAGCAAGGTGAGAAAAAAAAGGTCCAAAAGATTAAAAGTTTATCTTCATTAATACAAAATTCATAAAAATAATTATGAATCACTTTCGATGTTTCTAAATTCATTAATTTCGCATATAATTATTTAATAAATAATTAATATTAAGTAATATTTAATAACAGATAATTTTCTTCCGAATGATTGGCACATAAAATAATTATTATCAATATCATATAATTTTCTTATAAAAATATAAGATTATAATTCTAAACAAAAAGTTAAATTTTCGAATCATTTCATATCTTGTACCATCATTGCATTTATTACCCGCTATATTCTTCGCAACATGAAGTCACTCAAGAAATTATATTATATGAATTATTTAATAACAATCGTTTATTTCTTTCTTAATGAGCAACAGAGGCTTCTACAAAATCCGTCGGTAATAAACGAAATTTTGCTTTGATAAAATCAGTATCGGCAACAAACGCCTGTATGCTTGAAGCCAAGCAATTATTTCAGGAAAGAACGAATCTCTTCGAGCCCGGGCAATCTTGAGATCGTTAGTACCCTTAGACGATCTTCAGGGTGTGTTGTCCTTGCGATTTACGCTACTCAATCCCGCCGCCGGCGAGGAACGACCGAAAAGCGACACGCCGTCTGGTTTGATACCAGGGCACAAGCAAAGCGTGGTGCTGTTTCTCGAACGCGTTTACGGCATCGAAACACAAGAATTATTTTATAAGTTACTGGAGGAAGCCTTTCTGCCAGACCTTCGCGCCGCTACCATGCTTGACAGAGTATGAATCATCTTGTATTCCATATATCTCGCGTGTAACTATTTTTTTTAATGTTATTAATCGCAAATTAATTTTTTTATTAATTTAAAATAATAAAGGTGGTAAAAATTTGATTTTGCAAAGGAACAATTGAAAATCCATACAATTTAATCTAATTTCTTGCAGAACGACGGTTACGAATCCGATATGGCGCTCGCTATGAATCGTTACATAGGAAACAGTATTCTGCCGTTGCTAATTAAGCATTCCAAATTTTACAACGAGGCGGACAACTACGCGAGTTTACTCGATGCTACGTTACACACGGTCTATCGGCTGAGTAAGAATCGAATGCTGACGAAGGGCCAACGTGAAGCTGTCTCGGACTTTCTCGTCGCATTAACTAGGTAATAAGTGACAAATTTCTCGAACATAAACACACTGAATTATTTCAATTCTTTCACTTATTTTATTCCTGTTTTTTTAAGATAATAATATTTATTTGTTAAATGTTTTACGAATTTCGATACAATTATTTAAACTAAGCTAAGATTAAAAATAATCAGTTTTTATATTATGTAATACAATTTTTATGCAAGTTTTATTTTAGAAATTAACTCGAATTCCTCTTTTTGCAGTCAAATGCAGCCAAGCATGTTGCTGAAGTTGCTACGAAAGTTGACCGTTGATGTGTCTAAATTATCAGAGTATACTACCGTAGCTCTTAGAGTACGTTATTTGATTCGTTACTTGATTTATTTAAAATTAATAATTGCAGAAAAATCTTGTTTAAAAAAATTGTTTTACTATTACATAAATTATGTTTTATGTTATTAGTTGTTAACGCTGCATTACGATCGTTGCGCAAAATATTACGGCTCCACCGGCGGTCAAGGCGCTTATGGTGCTTCGAGCGACGAAGAAAAACGCCTTACCATGGTCCTCTTTAGCAATATATTTGATTCTCTATCTAAAATGGACTACGATCCAGAATTATTCGGAAAAGCGCTGCCTTGTCTGACAGCTATCGGTTGCGCTTTGCCGCCAGATTATTCTCTATCGAAAAATTACGACGACGAATGGTACGGAAGTAAATCGGCCTCGACTCAATCACCCGATGGTCCTTACAATCCACAACCAATCAATACCTCCAGGTATTAATAATTTTTATTACAAAAAAATGTCAATTATTATCTGAATTATAAATAATATAATATTTTAGTTTAACTTAATTAATTTTAAAGTATAAAAAGTTATTGTAAATTTAAATATCCTATGTTTTTTTTAGCGTGGTACTCAATAATGATCTTAATCAAATTGTACAAAAATTCTCCGAGCATTATCACGATGCTTGGGCCAGCCGGAAGTTGGAGAATGGTTGGACTTACGGCGAACAATGGTCGGACGTGAATAAAACTCATCCGAGATTAAAACCATATAACATGTTAAGTGATTACGAACGAGAGCGATATAAAGAACCCGTTAGGGAGAGCTTAAAAGCTCTCTTGGCAATTGGTTGGAGTGTGGAACACGCGGAAGTCGATGTGCCGTCGACCAATCGCAGTTCCATGAGAAGGTCTTCCAAAAGCCAAGTAAGGAGTTATTTGTAAAATTCATTATGTCTGCAAAGATATCTACATATTTTTTAAATATTTTAGGGCGATTCGGCGAATCCCTTTAATTATCATCCTCATCCGGTGGATATGACTAATCTAACATTAAGTAGAGAAATGCAGAACATGGCTGAACGTTTGGCAGACAACGCTCACGATATTTGGGCAAAGAAGAAGAAAGAAGAACTTATTACTTGCGGTTAGCATAAATTAAAAATTTTGATCATTGATTGTTTATTCTCTTCGCGTTCTCTGCATTAAAATATAATTTATATATAAAATATAATTTATATATAATAATGCAACAAATTTTCCATAATATGTTTCATAATTATTTTTTACAGGAGGTGGCATTCATCCTCAACTAGTACCCTACGATCTATTGACTGACAAGGAAAAACGAAAGGATCGCGAACGATCGCAGGAGTTCCTCAAATACTTGCAGTATCAAGGTTATAAACTTCACAAACCTAATCGCGGCGGTACAGAAACGGAAGTGGCTGGTGCCATAGCTGCGGTGGAATTAAGATTCGCTTATTCATTACTAGAGAAGTTGATAGCTTATTTAGACAAGGCGACCATCAATATGAAGCTTTTAAAGCCTTCTGATACGTTCAGTCGAAGAAACAGTTTCAAGACCTCGACAAGAGACATCAAGTTCTTCAGTAAAGTAGTTCTGCCGTTGATGGAGAAGTATTTCAGCACGCATAGAAACTACTTCATCGCTGTGGCTACCGCCACGAACAACGTTGGCGCAGCATCATTGAAAGAGAAAGAGATGGTGGCCGCGCTTTTCTGCAAATTAGCAAGTTTGCTCAGATCAAGACTTGCCGCCTTTGGCGCGGATGTGAGGATAACAGTTCGTTGTCTGCAAGTACTCGTAAAAGGCATAGATGCTAAAAGTCTGGTAAAGAACTGTCCGGAGTTTATCCGAACGTCCATGTTGACTTTCTTCAATAATACCGCCGATGATTTGGGTCACACGATCTTAAATCTCCAAGAAGGGAAATACAGTCATCTCAGAGGCACCCATTTGAAAACCTCCACGTCATTATCGTATATCAATAGTGTGGTTTTACCGGTGCTCACCGCGATGTTTGACCATCTTGCCGCGTGCGAGTATGGCAGCGACTTGTTACGTAAGTATTTCGAATATTAAAATTGAAAAGATTGAGAAAATTAATTAGAATAATTTCTGCATTAATTTAATTATATTTTGTCTTTGTTTTATTTAGTTGACGAAATTCAGGTAGCGTCGTATAAAATGTTGGCGTCTCTGTATACTCTCGGAATAGACGCTAGTTTGACGCATGATAGAAAGTACCTGAAGACCGAGATTGAGCGACACAAACCTAATCTGGGCTCCTGTCTGGGTGCCTTTTCGAGTTGCTTCCCAGTAGCCTTTTTAGAGCCTCATTTAAACAAGCATAATCAGTATTCTCTCCTAAATCGAATTGCGGATCATTCGCTGGAAGCTCAAGATATCATGACGAAGATGGAATCGAGTATGCCGACCTTGGAGACCATTCTTAGTGAAGTCGATCAGTTCGTCGAATCTGACAAGACTTATAACGACGCTCCTCACATCGTCGACGTGATTCTACCTTTGCTTTGCTCCTATTTACCTTTCTGGTGGGCACAAGGGCCTGACAACGTGAATCCGACCGAAGGCACTTACGTCAGTATGGTCACTAGCGATCATCTGAATCAGTTGCTAAAAAACGTACTGAAGCTGATTAAGAAGAACATCGGTAATGAGAACGCACCGTGGATGACGCGCATTGCTGCCTACACTCAGCAAATCATTATCAATTCATCCGAAGAATTATTAAAGGATCCCTTTTTGCCACTCGCCGAACGCGTCAGGAAACGAACGGACACCATGTTCCACAAGGAAGAATCTCTTCGAGGTTTCATTAAGTCCTCGACTGAGGATACTTCGCAAGTCGAGGCGCAGATTCAGGAAGATTGGCAGCTACTGGTGCGTGACATTTACTCGTTCTATCCTCTGTTGATAAAATATGTCGATCTTCAGAGGAATCATTGGTTGAGGAATAATATTCCTGAGGCCGAGGATCTGTACAATCACGTAGCAGCTATATTTAATATCTGGTCCAAGTCACAGTATTTCTTGCGCGAAGAGCAGAATTTCATATCAGCAAACGAAATCGATAATATGGTGCTTATCATGCCTACTGCGACTAGAAGATCCACTACAGTGTCTGATGGCACCGCGCCTTCCGGAGGAGGCAAGGTTCGTATAGATTATTCAACTATTTTGATTTTATTTTGCTAATCAATAAGCATTTATCTCAAGAGTTAAAAGATTGAACAATTATGTATTTCTTCGGCATTCAGAAAAAGAAGAAGCATCGTGACAAAAAGAGAGACAAAGACAAGGAAGTGCAGGCATCCTTGATGGTCGCTTGTCTGAAGCGTTTGCTACCTGTCGGCTTGAATCTGTTTGCTGGTCGCGAACAGGAGCTGGTGCAGCATTGCAAGGACAGGTTTCTGAAGAAGATGCCAGAATATGATATTTCGGAATTTGCCAAGACGCAATTGACTTTACCGGACAAAATCGATCCTGCCGACGAAATGTCTTGGCAACATTACCTGTATTCTAAATTGGGTCAGAAGAAGGACGTGATGGAACCTGTGAAGGTTCAACAACTAGAAGATGTAGTTGCTAGGATCACCGATATGGCCAAAGTCTTATACGGCTTACACATGGTTAGTTAGAAAATTGTTCAATGTTGTCATAAACTTGTAATTTTCAAAATTATTCCAGAGAGAATCTGCGTTCTGCAACTTTTTTCCTAATTTGCTATTGATATTAATGTTTATGTGATCACTGGAATTGAAAGTGCCATTGTCTTCTCTGGAGATCATTTCATCATCTCATCATCGTCATTTTTCTTTTCCTTTAAGTAACCGCGTCGAAGTGTTCATCATATTCATTCCGTACTTTTGTTCTCGAGTAGATAGATCATCCACAACAGCAGAGCAAGAGTCAGTACCGATCCGTGGTGTCGATCCAGCGTAAACGAGCGGTAATCGCTTGCTTCCGTCAAACTTCCCTACATTCCTTGCCCAGGTATCCTTTTTGTTATTTAGTTACGTTTTCGCTTTATTTGATCTTTAACCTTTCAGTTGTGATTTCACATGACATTATTAATTCTTTTAACATCATTGGAATCATTTTTATTTTAAGTTACATTGAACATTGCCGATGTATTTTGTTGATTTGCTATAGAATTTATTAGCTACTTTGCTGATTAATCAAAGAGAGAAATTATCAGGCGATAAAAATCAATTGATTTTGAGTGATCAATGTATATAGAAATAACTGCAACAATTAATAAAAGTAACTGATTGATAATTTAATAAATTTGCTTGCTGTTTACGTTTACATGCTAACAGGCGACAAAGCCACCGCCATCGCGAGATGGATGGAAACGTGTGTTGTGCGCTGCTAGAAAAAGAGCAGCGATTGCATGTTTGCGTAGTGAACCTCTGTATAAATTGAGAAGGTATGATTAACACAAATTAATCTCTGTTACATTGAAAACAATCCTTTTGAAAATAATTTTATCACAATTACGAAAACATATTCTTTTAGACATCGAGCGATAAATATTTTTGCGCGAACGTATTATGAGCTATGGCTGCAAGATGAAAATGTGGGTCAAGAAGTTATGATCGAGGATCTTACGGTAATTATATAATCTATTGGCAACATTTTACATGAAATTAATAATCTAAATATTTGTTCATATTTTTCTTTTAGCAATCGTTTGAAGATGCTGAACTGAAAAAAATGGATAACGCTGAAGACGAAGGCAAGCCGGATCCATTGACGCAGTTAGTGACAACATTCTGTCGCGGTGCCATGACTGAACGATCAGGCGCTCTTCAAGAAGATCCACTTTACATGAGTTACGCTCAAATTATTTCCAAATCTTGCGGAGAAGAGGAAGAAGAAGGTGAAGAAGAAGGCGGTGAGGAAGAAGGTGGAGCTTCGATTCATGTAAGTATCCTCAATTGATAAGTTTTCATCTGCATATAGATGAGTGAAAAAAACGAATCCTTTAAAATCCTAAAATCTATCGTATCTATCGTATTAACGACTTCCCTATCTTTTTCTAACTTACTAGAAGCCGAGACATAAGTATACGGTAAGAACAAGTAGTTAGTGCGAGAATCCATCCGCTTAATGTATGCTCGCAGTCCAAAGTATCAATATATGTGTTTTCCGTATTGTGATACCCGGATCTATTAAACTGTGCATTATTTAATTCTTTAAAATCAAAGCAATATGTATAATATCATTCATAAGCAAGCAAAACATCGTAGGCTATCGAGATTATCTTCCTCTCGTCCATCCATTACTAATTAATATAATTAAACTATGATTTTTTTTCTTTACGTAATTCTCAAGAGGCCAATGCATAAACTAATGGTAAGATACTTATATTTGTACATGTACATGATTTTTTAAAAGTATATTTCAAGTTTTTCAAATAATATAAATAGAAAGCTGCACGAAATATTTGATTAGAAAATTTGATATGTAAATTATTATGTATTTAGCTTAAGCATAATATTATATTTATTAAATTTATATTTGATTTCATTATCATATAACGTTTTTATTACACCTGTAGGAGCAAGAAATGGAGAAGCAAAAACTCTTGTTTCATCAAACTCGTCTAGCAAATCGTGGCGTCGCGGAGATGGTTCTTCTACACATATCGGCGTGCAAAGGCGTTCCCAGCGAGATGGTAATGAAGACATTAGAGCTTGGAATTTCAATCCTGCGTGGCGGCAATATCGAAATTCAACGAGGAATGCTGAATCATCTGAAAGAGAAGAAGGACGTTGGTTTCTTCACGTCCATCGCTGGTCTAATGAATTCGTGCAGCGTGCTGGATCTGGATGCTTTCGAAAGAAATACAAAAGCTGAAGGTCTCGGTGTCGGTTCCGAGGGTGCAGCTGGCGAGAAGAATATGCACGACGCCGAATTCACTTGCGCCCTATTCCGCTTTATCCAACTCACCTGCGAGGGTCATAATCTCGGTAAGTATTACATTATTATTATTGAAGGATAGATTCAATTGAGTGACGTTATCGTATTCTCAACAGATTGGCAAAATTACCTCAGAACGCAGGCTGGTAACACGACGACGGTAAATGTGGTCATTTGCACTGTCGATTACTTACTACGATTACAAGAGTCGATTATGGATTTCTATTGGCATTACTCGAGTAAGGAACTAATCGACCCTGCCGGCAAAGCAAACTTCTTCAAGGCTATTGGCGTCGCCAGTCAAGTGTTTAACACTCTCACTGAAGTTATTCAAGGTCCATGCGCACAGAATCAACAAGCTTTAGCGCATTCCAGGTTGTGGGATGCAGTTGGAGGTTTTCTTTTCTTGTTCTCGCACATGCAGGACAAACTATCAAAGCACTCCAGTCAGGTGGATCTTCTGAAGGAATTGCTAAACTTACAAAAAGATATGATTACCATGATGCTTTCCATGCTTGAAGGTATACATCTAATTTAAATTTTATTCAAGAAAATGAATAGAATAATTAATAATTAGTGTGATTGAAAGGTAACGTCGTGAACGGGACGATTGGAAAACAGATGGTGGACACTTTGGTCGAATCGGCTAGCAACGTAGAATTGATTTTGAAGTACTTTGACATGTTCTTGAAGTTGAAAGATCTTGTATCATCGCCAAGTTTCCTCGAAGTTGATGTTAATAATGACGGTTGGGTGTATCCTAAGGATTTCAAGGAAAAAATGGAGCAGCAAAAGAGCTACACCAAGTATTATAAAATATTACTATCGTTTATTTTCTGAAATAAAATTCTGCAAAAAATTTAAGAAAGATCTAAATTTTAATCCTCTAAAATGTTTTCAGCGAGGAGATTGAATTCCTACTGGCCTGTTGCGAGACAAATCACGACGGCAAGATCGATTATGTCGCTTTCATGGATCGTTTCCACGAACCAGCGAAGGAAATCGGTTTCAATCTAGCAGTATTGCTCACCAATCTGTCCGAACACATGCCTAATGAGCCGAGATTAGCCAGGTTCCTCGAGACAGCCGGCTCTGTTCTGAACTATTTCGAACCATTCTTGGGTAGGATCGAAATCCTCGGCGGCAACAAGAAGATCGAGCGCGTGTACTTCGAGATCAAAGAATCAAACATCGAGCAATGGGAGAAGCCACAGATCAAAGAGTCGAAGAAAACCTATTTCTATAACACGGTAGTCGAGGCTGGCGACAAAGAGAAACTCGAAACCTTTATCAACTTTTGCGAAGATGCTATTTTTGAAATGCAACATGCGAGCGCGTTGATGACCGTCGAAGAGAGCGGTGGAATCGGTAAGGCGAGAGAATCTTCGTACACATACATGACCGAAGATGACGAAGAGAGGAATAAAGATCCAATCAGGCGAAGTATTCAAGCCTTCAAGGACGGCATTTACTTCTTCTTCTACATGTTCTCACCGACCAACATCAAGAACAAGATCGCTGAGATGCAACAGATGACAATACCTGAGCTTTTCATCGGCTTCTTTAAAATGATCTTCTATGCCTTCTATTATTCTGGCTTTGGCGTCGGCTGCGTGATCAAATATTTCATGAGGCTTCTATTGACCTTAATGAGAGGACCACATCTGGACGAGCCCGTTGTTGTCAAGGAAGAGGAAGAAAAACCGTCGAGACATTTACCCGCTTTACCGCCTACGCCGGATGAGTCGAATTTACAAGTAAAAATTTTCTCGATAAATTATATTAAGCATTTAGTATAGCATTAAGAAATATACTTAAAAAAATCGGATATATAGGTACAAGCCTTTGGAATGGATATAACAAAAGAAGAAGGAGGACAGATAAAGATAGCACCACACGAATCAAGTACTTCTACGCCACAATCCAGTATTGAAGAAACGGGCGAGAGTACACCTGACGAAGGTACTGGCGAGGAAGGAGTGAGAGCTGAAGGAGAGAGCGAGCAGCCCGTCACTTTAGCTGATTTGCTCGGGTTAGTGACAAATATAATAAACTTTATATAAATATATTTATCTATTAACATACAAGAGATAATTAATTAATTTATAAAATTAACTTATACTACCGTAATCATTTTTCCGTAATTTAATATAGTTTAATATAGTTTTGTTAATTATTTTGTTAATTATTCTTTCCTCAATTCATAATTTGAAACGAAAAAGATTCGTTTTTGTCGCATATCGATATGTCAATCTTTCGAGAAGTTATAGCGTTTCGCGGTAAGTCCGAAAATCCGGCGCGCGCGCATTATTCATGACAAGCGCGACGTGTATGTATGAGTTACGCGCGTGTGACACTTACGTTACTATACTACTACGATCAGCTGATCAGCTGACCAAGAGTAATCACTCGTCACGTGCTGCGCTATGTGAATGATCGAGTCGGCGCTTAAATTAAAATCATGAATTGATATAACTATTAATATTTTTTCACAAAAAGTTGCAGTGGTATGCCCAGTCTTGTTTAAAATTCTAGAGCTTCTAATGATTGTAGAATTATATCTCTAATTGGATTGCATAAATTGATTACAGGGATAAAATTAATTTGCCACGAGACAAAAACACTATTTTATAAAATAAAACTATGTTTAAATCGTGGTTTAAAAAGATTATAATGAATTAAAATAAATTGCGTTAAAAATGCACGGTTTTCTATTTATAATAATGTTTAATAATAATTTTATAAAGCGTAGTGTTTTATTTTTATAAAAAAAAATTAAAATTTTTGATTTTATAGCATATCGTAAATTCAATTTAAATAACTGTCAGTAATAGATTATTTGTATAATCTATTATTGACAGTTATTTAAATTGTATAATTCCTTTTTTGTTAAGTATTATATTTGTATTTTGTTAAATACTTTGTTATAATATCTATTTCTATATCTAGTGGAGAACAAGCCAGAGCGCAAGCTGCCGCAGCAGCAGAAGCAGCAGCTGCTCAACAAGCAGCTATGGCAGCAGTTGAAGCTGAAGCAAAACAAGAAACCTCGGTCGAACCTTCCACAGGATCGAGCATTGATCTGTCCGAATACAGCCATCGTATAGTATCCTTCTTGGCCAGGAATTTCTACAATCTGAAATATGTTGCGCTGGTTCTCGCCTTCTGTATCAACTTTATGCTGCTGTTCTATAAGGTTTATGACTTCACAATAATTTTACTTGTGTATAATAAAATATATAAATCTAAGGTTCTATAAATTCATGTTTATGTGTTATAATAAATGTATTTTTTTCTTACATATCTTAACTTTAATCTAGGTCTCATCTTTGGCTGACGATTCGGACGAGGAAGGCAGTGGACGAATGGCGGATTTGTTATCGGAACTATCAGGCGAAGGAACATCGGGTTTGGCAGGTAGTGGCATGGAAATAGGTAGTAGCGGTAGTGGTGAAGATAGTTCGGAAGAAGAAGATGACGAGGCTCAAGAATTCGTGGAAGTGGCCGAAGATTATTATTATATGGCTCACGTTATGAGGCTATTGGCTCTTCTTCATTCTATCGTTTCGCTCGCTATGCTAGTCGCGTATTATCATCTAAAGGTACTTGAAACAATATTGATAAGTACACAACTATTTAATATAAATTATTAAAATCTTTAGATTTTCTTCAATAATGTTCTCTAATAACAAATTTTGATAAATTTGATAGATAAATAACAGTTATCGTATTTTAGAAATTATAGAATATTTATCTACTTAGGTACCATTGGCCATCTTTAAAAGAGAGAAGGAAATTGCCCGACGAGTAGAATTTGATGGATTATACATAGCTGAAACACCGGAAGAAGACGATATTAAGGCACATTGGGACAAAATGGTGATATCAGCAAAGACTTTCCCCGTAAATTATTGGGATAAGTTCGTCAAAAAGAAGGTCCGGCAAAAATACAGCGAAACATATGACTTTGATTACATCAGCAATTTGCTCGGAATGGAAAAGACCTCTTTCAGCAAGCAAGAAGAAGAAGGATCTGGCTTGATACATTTGTAAGCAAACGTAATGATAATATCTAGATCTTTTTGTAAGATTTTTTTAATGTAAAAAAATAATCTTTTCTAGCATTGTAAATATCGACTGGAGATATCAAATATGGAAAGCTGGTGTCACCATCACGGATAATGTAAGTTTTTCTCAAATAAATTTTCAGCAAGATTAATTTAATTATTTAAATTAAATACCTATGTTTACTCACGCTCTCTTATTTCCAGGCATTTTTATACAGTTTATGGTACTTCACATTTTCGATTCTCGGCAATTACAATAATTTCTTCTTCGCCGCTCACTTGCTAGACGTTGCGGTCGGCTTCAAAACTTTACGAACCATCTTACAGTCAGTGACACATAACGGCAAGCAATTGGTTCTGACAGTGATGTTACTGACAATCGTGGTATACATCTACACCGTAATAGCTTTCAATTTCTTCAGGAAATTCTATATACAAGAGGAAGACGATGAAACAGACAAGAAATGTCATCATATGCTAACGGTATGCCATATGAAAAAAATGAAGAATCTTTAGCCAGCTAACCTTTATATGTTTCATCTTTTCATTTGTAAACTTTAGATTTTTAATTATTCTGATTTGAAATTGTGGTTTTGTAATTATTCTGATTTGAAATGAACGTATTTTTTTATTTCTTTTGGCAGTGTTTCGTTTTCCACTTGTACAAAGGCGTAAGAGCCGGTGGTGGCATAGGCGACGAGATCGGTGAACCCGATGGCGATGATTACGAGGTGTATCGTATAATGTTCGATATTACATTCTTCTTCTTCGTGATCGTCATTCTGTTGGCTATCATTCAGGGTGAGCACACTCAATTGATTCCCAAATTTGACTAGAAAAAAAAGTATAACGTTACGTTGCAATTGATCCTTAGGTTTGATCATCGACGCATTTGGTGAACTTCGAGATCAGCTCGACAGCGTGAAGACGAATATGGAAAGTAATTGTTTCATATGCGGCTTAGGAAAGGACTACTTCGACGCGGTGCCGCACGGGTTCGATACTCATGTGCAACAGGAGCACAATCTAGCAAATTATATGTAAATATCAACGAATATTTTGTGCTTTTGATTTGATAATCTGACGTATGTCTGAATATTTAAAAAAATATTATATAAATTTACGTTTTTTGACCAACAGGTTCTTCCTTATGCACTTGATTAATAAACCAGACACCGAATACACAGGACAAGAGACCTATGTGTGGAATATGTATCAACAAAGATGTTGGGATTTCTTCCCGGTAGGCGATTGCTTCCGTAAGCAGAATGAAACAGTGGAAGAAGAGGCCAAGAAGAAATAAAATACTTGATCCTAATTAAGGTGACCAATGGAAACGATTGATTTTTACCTGACGAAGAAGACTTTCTTCATCGAACAACGTCTTCGATAACTTTTAGCATAAACTTTTGCTCATCAAACGAGAGTGCGAAATCAACATTCGTTAAAAATCAAATTTTCGAAAATTCTGTGTTTTACCTCATAAGGACAGAGGGAGAATTTTTATCTCGTAAACTTATGTCTCTGTTTTCCACTTGATAGTTTACCGTTATTCCGACTAATTAATAGACTTTCTGACGTGTGAATGTAATGCATTAATTGCGTACTGCGTGTAGTGAAGGTGATTCGAACGCAAAGAAATTCGTGTTTGATATCGCATCGAGGGCACGTATAAAATTAAAAATATTTTTTCAACTTTGTAAAAATGACATAAACTCTATCACCAAAACCGGCAACTTCCTCTTTTAGATAGGCCAATTCGAAACAATTCAATCAAATCGTTGACAAAAGCTCCATTTCCTTCGACCGGCAGTACGTTATTGTTGAATCGATAGGAACGGCGGAATCGACTGCACAAATTTACATATTCATAGCGTTGTAATATTGCCTTCTTTTCATACGTTGGACGATCTATACCTGTGCGTAATTTTATGCTGTATCACGGCAGTAACAAGATATATGACATAGTATAAGTAAGTTGAAAATGTTTAAAGTTTATATAATGTGCAACTCTTTCTGATCGCTACGAAAGCAAGAATTTTTTGAACATTATATACGACTGAGTTCAGTATATCCGAGAGAATGTCAATATATTGTAAATAAAATTCTACGGCAGGAGACTAGGTGGTAATAAATAAAGACATACTTCTTTACTTTGTTATAAGTATTATATCCCACACCCAGTATTTTTCAGTTCAATCTTATATACATCAATTCTTTATATCTTTTTCAAATTCTAGAATTCATTTCACTTTCAAAAACTAAAAGTTAAAATATTTAAGCTATTAATATAACTATATTTTTATTTTATTTACATTAATTTATGATCTTACTACAAAAGAATTTTAAAGATATATTGCTTTTAATCTCAAAAATAAATTAATTGAAAATTCATTTCTATTTTTATTGAAATGGAATCAGAAAAAAGAATCCTATCGAAGAAGATTTAGTCCTTCTCGATCAATTTTGTGGTCAATGAAGCGGTAACTGGAATTCCGCGACGCAGCATTGTATCAATGTCGATGTCTATTGCACAGCAAAATCTCATATTTCCTGTCGCGACCTGACACGCACCCCAGGGAAACGAAAGAGGAACAACAAGAGTAACGGCGCGTCCCTCCGTCACGGAGGCGGAAGGAGGTCGCGCAGGCGCGTAGGATCAGCACCCGCTCGCCGGCGAGGAGCCTTCAGGGTGAAAATGCACCATGGCATGGGAGGATCGGCGGGTGATCGTCACGGAGCTCAAAATCCGGCAATGCAGGCCAGAAATGGGGTCTGCGACAAAATCGAAAATTACATATCCGAGCTGGGCCGATGGTACGTGAGTAAACACAGGGGTGGCTGCCCTAAGCTCGTACAAGAGCCGTTGCGTGTGTTTTCCGCCCTATGCCGCTCCGTAGAATCGGTGGGGACGGGCAGAAGGGGGTAAACGACCCGGGGATGAAAGTGTTTAGCTACGTTTCGTGGTGTAGTTTTACCGATTGGCATAACGTGATGCGTAGTCGTGAAATCGTGTTGAATTTCTTTGAGATTTTGGAGATTAAATTGATAAGAATTTAATAATAAATCGATATAATACAATCTCGGAAATTTAGAATGTGCTAGTGTTGGTGAAGTTTTTTACATGGCTTCTATGTGTGCAACTTCATAAAATTTTATGTTGAGATACATGCATTTTAATAATCTTATATACTTTTAATTTTTATAACTTCAATAATTTTTATTCGGTTGATATATGAAAACTTGTTATTGTGAAACTTGTTATTGTATTGTCTATTATCTTTCTCATCAATTAAGTTATTTGCAGCAGTTTTTACGTCTTGTATTGAATGGTCGGCTCGAAAACGCAAATAGTCTGACTAAAGTCAGGCATTACTACTTAAAGTACTCCTACTAAAGATATAAACAAGATATTTAATCTATTTAAGTTAAAGTTAAATAAATTTCTATTTGAGGCTAAACTATTCTTTAAATTTCCCATAGTGTATACAATTTTTAACAAAATACATATTAGATCATAAATAAATTTTAACTATAATTTTATGACATAACAAAATAATGATACTTTTACAACATATTTAAATTTCATTACAAATATAGTATTATGTAGCATCATGTAACAGATACATTTCAAAGCTATTTGCATTTTTATGCATATATTTGCATATCTATTAAAATAAATATTAATTGCTTGTTAATATATTACAAAATAGGGCGGTATGGAGGGCGATAATAATGGGTCAGTTCCTCTCGCTGGTGCTATGCTTCATGACGCTCGTAAATCATTACATAAATACCGGCACTTACAAGCTCTCGCTTCCAACAGGTAACTTATTCATTCGCAAAACTATGTCCCGCTTTCGTGCAGCGTCGAGAGTTAAATTAGTTGGATTACAACAATTTCGAGTTTGCAATTTCGCCCCCAATAATTAATTATTATTGTTTTTGCGAGACAGGACAGAATGTTCCGCACTACGTGATGATGTGTTTAGTCTATACGACGTGGATGTCCTGCAGGGGTGTGGGAAATGGCCTAATTTCTGTCATACGAGCCCGCGGATGGAGGTACTTATTGTTAGCACTAATCGACGTTGAGGCGTGCACTCTTATTACATCTTCACATCAGTATACCAGTCTCGCTAGTATACAGGTATGTAAATATGTAAGGGAATCTCATTATTCGCGGATTCCCAGCTGCCTTAATTTTTTTAATTATCGAGAACCATTCTTAGTATTAATTGGAATTTTATTAATTAAGGGAACAATGAAATCCAAATATATCTGATTCTTTCCAAGACTTTTATAACATATTAATTATTTAAATAATTCTTAACAGATATGATGTTTTTTTTAATATTTATTTCCTATAAACGTTTTCCGTATTATGTTTTTTAAGTTTCATTGAACAATTCAAAAAAGAGAATTATTCCGGGATTATTTTTACTCGCGTTTAAATTCCGTGAAAGCGCGATTTCTTTCGGTATCGTTTAATATACGATTTCCCATATATATATATATATATATATATATATATATATATATATATATAGTAGTA